TCCAAACCACGAGCATAGAGAAACCATTGAAATGGAAAGACTCAGTCAACTTAGTCGTGCAGGTTATTTGATTATTTTCCTCCTCCAAAGAATCAGAAGGCATTTTGATGCCTTGGGTTATTATTTTTAAAGTATCTTGGAGCAGATGTCTCCATATTCCAATCAAATGAAACCACAAAATCCTTTGCACTGGGAGGGCCCCGGGTCTCATCACACTTTCAATTCTTCTAGGTTATAAATCATGTTAAGAGCCACATCTGAAACTACAGCCAAACCTTTTGTCTCCCTTCTTTGCCTGATTGCTCTGATGTAAAAATTGTGGTTTTATATTACGACGGCTATTAAGCCCGAGTGCGGATTTATGACTCTCGTTCTAGTGCTTCAGTTTGTGAGCCAGTCCGACAACATACAGTCCTGCAGGTTTGCTCAGACGATGGAGCAGAGGCTACAGAAGGCCTTCCAGGATGCCGAGAGGAAGGTGCTGAGTACCCCCAGCAACCTGACGACTCAGGTGAGGAGGGCGCTTACTCTGTGCTTTGGGCGTGTGATGTAGGCAGGAGACGGTGCCACTCTGGGGCCACGGAGTCGAGTCAGTCCCGGCACTGGTGAGGCTGTCTGGGATATGGGTGCTGTGTCGCTCTCTACCTGCTGTGGTTTGGGATTTTATACCTATCTTCCCACATGAAGATGCCTCAGGCCTTTCCAATACCTTCATTATTTTTAAAAATTGAACTGGAATATACTATATATGATATGTCAGATGTCTCATATAAAATGAGTCATTTTTAAATAACGAACTCACTAAGATGTGCCTATTCTGTGATTTTCATTGAGTCATTTTACAAATATCCATGTGAACAGTCACCTTACTTTACACACACACACACACACACACACACACACACACACACAGAGTATATTTAGGGCTTCCTATGTGCTAGGACTGTGCGGGGTGATTAATGACTGTTTTGCTACATTATACTTAAAACTTCCCTCTGAGGTTGATCGTCACCATTTCACAGACGAGGAAATGGAGAGACAGGTGAGAAACGTCCAGGAGGTCACATGGTTGGTACAAAATAGAACAAAGACTTGAGCCACAGCCCATACTGTGATCCATCATGCTATACAAGCATCAGTGCAATGCAGACATGGGGCCCTTGGTGAAACTTTGGACACACACATGGATTATTTCCCAGGAAAATCCCACTCCTGGTTTACTGTATCTCAGTTTCCTGGATTTTCAGTAGATATGCTATCAAAAGCCTTTCTCAGACCCTTTTTTTTTGCAGTAGTGTAGATACCATCCCACTAAAGACAGATGCTTCTTAATGGTATTTATCCAGCCACCAAATTTCTCTAATTAACTGAACAAGCCAATGTCTCTGTTTTCATGAAACCAAAAGCCTTTGCAATAAAACCCAGTGGTTTTGAAATTGACATTTAGCATAAGTGAATTATCAGCACAGCCAAGACGATGTAGAAAGCATTCAGTTTGATTTGAATGAGAAGCTTTCCTTTTCTAGATCCATCCAAAGTGCAAGTATCTCATCATGATTTGGTTTATTTTAGACTAAGATCTAAAAACGTGTCACAGACTTAAGATTTATATAAAGGGGATGACTCAGCTCTCTGGTGGGAGATCTTTTTTTTCTGATGGGATTTGGAACTTCATAGGTAGAACCCGCTTAGAGCTACAATGTGCTGTGTTCAGGAAGCACAGACCCACGGGGCACCTGCTAGTCATCAGGCCCTGGGAGGGACGCCGAGATAAAAAAACGGCCCTTGGGTTTAGCAAGTAAGAGACTTTTCTTGGAAAAGACTACAGCAGGCAATTTGAAAATTGTATCTAAGTAGATTTTGAATGCTCTTGAGAGTATCAACAGCTTTTTTTTTAAAAAATATGTTTTTATTGATTTTTAGAGCGAGAAGAAGGGAGAGGGCTAGAGAGCTAGAAACATTGATGGGAGAGAAGCATCATCACTAGGCTGTCTCCTGCATGCTCCCTTCTGGGAATCGAGCTCACCACCCGGGCATGTGTCCTGATCAGGAATTGAACCCTGACCTTCTGGTTCATAGGTAGATACTCAACCACTGAGCCATGCTGGCCAGGCAACAGCTCTTTTTAAAAAATCTTTATTGTTGAAAGCATTACATAGGTCCTCCTTACCAGCTCTATAAATGAATGGCTAACTAGGTGAACTGGTTTATTTTAACCCCATTTCTCTTCTTGCCTTGGCTGACAGGAAGCCCAGAGACAAAGTGGTTGCCTGGGTTTAGTAACCCTCTTAGCCCCTACGTCATGCATAGAGAGCTGTATGATAGCCATTCCCCTGGGATTGTCTTTAATCTGTTTTTCCAGAACCTGGTTTTGTAATTATAACTTTCCATTTCATTGTATTAAATATAATTTGTGAAGCACTTTGGATTCTCTGTGGAATAAGACCATGTAAATATTTAATTAATTTGTTTAGAGAATTATTGAAAATGTGACTTACAATTATTTTTTTTTTTACTTGTATAGCGTTGATATTAGAGGGATGATATTAGAGGGTAGATTACAGTTGACTCAATTAAGAATTTTTGGTGCAGCCGTAGCTGGTTTGGTTCAGTGGATAGAGCATCAGCCTGTGGACTGAAGGGTCCCGGGTTCGATTCCGGTCAAGGGTACATGCCCAGGTTGCAGGCTCGATCCCCCATAGGGGACGTGCAGGAGGCAGCCAGTCAATGATATGCATGTACTTCATGCCACCAAACTGTACTCTTAAAATGGTTAAAATGGTAAAATGTATGCGCTTTACCACAACAAAAATGTATGAAACTGATGTAATGTCATATGACAGTTATACTTCCGTAAGAATATTCTTAGCTTAAAAAGTTATAATCGTTATCAGAGGATTACACACACGGGATTCCTCCATTGCAGTGGGGTTGGCATTCTTGGGATGCTGCTGGATGAGTATTTCGAGAGGTCCCCACGGGAAGATGAAGTGTGGTAAAGGCTTCTTTTCCTGGAATTACATTCCTCGGGTTGTATAAAGTCCCATGTCCCTTAACTCAGTCCTGAAAACGGAGCAGCTGGGGCTTTCGTAGAGCTGAAAGCAAAGCCGGGGTCCAGAGTTTTCATTCCATGGTGGAGGCGGGTCTGAGGTAGCATCAGGCTAGATTCAGTCCATCAGTCTGTTGGGTGGGTCCCACATGGCCGTGAGCCTCATGGGTGAATGCAGGGTGTGGGAGCCCCTGCAAGCCAGGAGTTAGGCTCGAGCAGCCAGAGGGGGG